AGGCGGCGATAGGGGTTCCAGGGTGGTGCGCAGCGTGCAGGGTAGGTCGAGGCAAAACTGCCGGTGTGCTCGGTTAGGCTTGTGATGCACGGCTAGAGGGCAACCGAGGTCACGGCCGAGCTCGGCCTTAATGGCCCGGTGCCGGACAAACTCCAAAATTGGAGCTCGGTTGCGTGCGATGCGAAGCGAGGTGGGGACGGGCGGCTAGGGTACTGGCCTGCGAAGCGGTGTGCAAGGCGAATTGGGCCGAGGTGGCTCCACCATGCCGCAAAAGAACAGCGTGGGCCCGATGGCCATGGTAGAAGGGGAGGGAGGAGGGGTCAGCGCTCGGGTCACCTCCGGGTTGGCTGCCTAGGACCGACACGGTCGGGGCGGCACGAGCACAGGAGACACGCCAGGACGTGTGTGGGCGGTGAGGGAGTGGCACGCGCGAGCAGCGGCCGGCTGGCCAGCAGTAGCGCTGGGCTAGGGCATGGACGTGACGTCGAGTTGACCCCAATGCGCGCAACGTGGGGGGCAGCGAGGGGACAGGGGCTGGCTGCGGCCAACCCTGGCCGAGCCAGGATGGACCGGGCCAGCCCAGCGCGGCAGCGCGGCCAGGCGCGCGACATCGGTGGCCCACGAGGTGACCGCGCACGCCGAGGCCGACAGCCGAGACAAGTGTCCGTGCACGATTTTTAAAGCCCGCGTACCCACTAACCAATCTTGAATCGAGCTCATCCAACTATACAATACCCGAGAGGGTACCTAGGGCTAGCTACCAGGGCTAAGCCACGACACCATCTACTAACAAATTCAAGCAAAATAAATTCCCGAACATGGCCTGGTCAAGCTGTTTTCAGACTTGAAAATCACTCTAAGTCTTGGGCTAATTTTTGTTGCAAGTTCAATCTTCGAGCAACTAGAACTATCAGCTAGCAATAACACCTTGCTAAGACAAACGTTGCATTATCATCTACAAAGTTGCATTAACTTTGTAATTTCTTTTTTAATTGCTGCCTTCTTGTCGGGTGAGAATCGTCGTAGCCGTTGCTTCACAAGCTTGAAGCCTTCGTTGATATCAATTCTGTGCTCAGCCAACTCTCTTGGGACACCTGGCATGTCGGCCGGCTTTCAAGCAAAGATATCTTTGTTGTCCCGAAGAAAGTTGGTGAGCTCGAGTTCCTATTTTGCCGAGAGGTGTGCACTGATGGTTGCCGTCTTGGAGGGATCACCGGTGCCTAGGTCGATTTGCTTGACGTCGGCTTCTTTTGGTGGTGCGAGGATGCTCGGCCTCTTAGCCGGGATCTCTAGTTCTTCTGAACATCGCAGTCGAAGGCACGCTTCAGATCACTTCAGAGAGAAAGAACACCGTTGGGACCTGGCATCTTAAGCAATAGGTACAGGTAATGTGGTATCGCCATGAACTTTGCTAGTGCTGGACGTCCAAGGATGGCGTGATATGATGATTCGAAGTCTGCAACTTCAAATTTGATAAACTCTGTACGGTAGTTTGAGGGAGTCCCAAAAGTAACCGGTAGAGTGATTTGTCCAAGTGGCATGGCTGCCTTGCCGGGTACTATCCCATAGAAAGGGATACTTGTTGGAGTAATCATCCCGGTGAGTTGTAGTCCCATCTTCCTTAGCATTTCTGAAAAAACAATGTTGAGTCCGGCTCCCCCATTTATTAGCACTTTTGTGACAGTCATACTAGCGATAGTTGGATCTAAAACCAGTGGGTAGTGGCCGGTGTTCCCTACGCTAGTCCATTGATCTTCCCTTGAAAACTAGAATGGATATTGCGACCAGTTGAGGTATCTTGGAGTAGCCGGTTCTGCTGCCATGATGGTCCATAGAGCCAGCTTGTCTTGATGCTTGCTTCTAGAACCCGGGACCCCGAAAAAGATCACTGCTACCGTCCCCTTGGATTTTTGAAATCCTTATCTTCATGGTTGTCTTCATCTTTTTTCTGATTGTTTTCTTTGTTGTTCCCCTTATTATCGTTTCTTGTGTATCGATTAATGAAGGTGTAGCAATCTCCGATGGTGTGATTTCCTTTAGGGTGCCGATGGGTGCTCTGCTTCTAATCTCCTTCGGTTGTTCGACTCGGTTGCTTTGACTATGGTCTCTTCTACTTTGTCTGTTGTGACTTCCGCTTGGCCCAAGTCTCTCGAAAGCGGACTTTCTTTGATTTTGATCTTCCTGTCTGTGAGATGTTGACCTGGCGGGTAGCCTCGAGCGGGTCCTTCTGTCGTGTGTTCTTAAGGCCATTGATCGGAGAATATCCTGGAGCTGTTCTTGTTCTTCATTGGGATGTGAGATTGCTCCGAGTTCTTCTAGTGCTTCTCGGATCCTATTGTAGGGTATTTTTGCCGTGCGTCTTTCTTTGGCTTCTTGCTCTGATTTTCTTCTATTGTACTCGGCCAGATCTGACTCATATCTAATCCAAGCTTCTTTGCGCTGCCTGGCACGGCGTTGGCGTCCTTGTTTCAATTTGTTTCTTCTTTCTCTAGCTTGTTTCTGGCTCTCGGTTTCACCATCGTGCCACTAGGTAAAGGGTGATATGTTGGATTCGGATTCATCCGATGACCTGATGTCGGGTGCTTCTGGAGGGGCCAACGGTGATCAGGGATGGCGAACCATGAATACTTCTCGTGCGTGAAGTGTTCTGTTATTGACGTCGGCTTCCACGCTGTCAGAGTTGTTGAGAACTTCATTAGAGGCTTCAGGGTCGTAGATTGAGTCTCCTTCTTGGTAGGGTAGAACCATTGTCGTTGTCGTGTCGACTAGCAGGGTACTGTTATCCTCAGGAACAGAGCCTGGCCAGTGGACGATGCAGTCTTGAGATGTTATAGTTAGTACGAGGCCTTTCTGAGCTCCTTTTAGTGGCATTTTTAGCACCGGATCGATAGATCTTTCGAGTTGTGCCTGATAAGATGTTGCCATGTTATGGAGCCCAAACAGAAAAGGACCCGACTTCTTGAAAGAACTCTGAATGTTCTCCGAGTTGAATTCTTGATAGGTTGATGCCGCGTTCCGGAGCCCCGTCGAAAAAGAACTCGGACTATTGTGGAAAGAACTCGGGTAAGACTCCATCTCGGATGTGGAACCTGACCCTGAGTGGGATGCGGTTGGCCACGAAGTCTGAGTCGGATCAGACATCACGAGCTGCGTGAGTCTTCCGGCGAGTTGATCTATCGTAGTCGTCGAAATAGCGAGGTCTTCATGGCGATCTGAATCTTTGAGGTGACGGTTTTAGAGCTTGCCGTCGTCGTCCGCCTCACAGATCCATTATCCGAAGATGAAAGTTGATCCTGTTGAGAATATCATGTTGTCGAGGTCCATCGAGCTCTCAGATGCAAATCCGCCGAAAGCCCCTACCTGGCGCGCCAGCTGTCAATGTTTTACCACCGATACCCTACCACGGGGGTACCCGTGACAGTTGTTCGGGCTTCGGCGTATGCAGAACTTGGCGGTTAACGCAAGAGACAGTCGATTTATCCTGGTTCGGGCCCTCGACCATGATCGAGTAATAGCCCTACGTCCAGTCGGCGTTAGCCTTTTGCGTTGGATTGATTGGTATATGTTCCAATTGTCCTTAGACCTTCTCCTCTGGACTTTTTACTTTCTATCTTACCGATCTAAGGAGTCTTGCCCTCCTTTATATAGTCCAGGAGACAAGAGTCCTAGTCGGTTTACAATGTAGAGTCCTAGGAAGATTACAGGGTAGAACTACTACTAGGATTACATGGTAAGATATCCTAGTTAGACTAGATCTTCTCTCTTCCTTGCGGGGTATCCCGTGGATCCCGCATCGACAACTTCTTATGTCTTCCAAAAATCCGAAACATGGACATAGGAAGATCCAAAGATCATACAAATTTGATGGATTAAAAAAAATAGATGACGCTGAATCCATTTGTACAAGAACCAATCGAAAAGATGAAGTAGATATTTAACTAAAATTCTTCAAAGTTGTATATGTGGTTAGCTTTGTTTGAATTATAGAAGCATCAAAACATTCCTAAAAATATGTGAAAATTCATTAAAATTCATTTTTTAACATCTATTTATGAAATTAATTTCCATCATAATTTATGTTCAAAATTTTGAAGTTACTTAAGAAGGTGTGTTTTCCAATTTAATTTATTAATTTGAGTTTAAATTACGATTGCATTTACTTATGCAATGGACATGATTAAATGATACACATGATGCTGGATTAGGTTCATTAACATGCAATACAAAATTTGCATGTTACAAATATTTGTAAATCTTAAATTAAAAATCCTCAAACTTGACATCCTTTTGACTCTCCTTAGTGCTTTAGGACTTCGAAACAAACTGAAATGGGGGGGGGAATGAAACCACCATAATTCATGTTAGCCTACATATCAAGAAGGACATTTGTTCTGGGATAACCGCATCGAAAAGGTCTTAATTCTTTCTGAACACAGCAGACATGCTGTTTGACGTGAACATTTTGATAAAGGAACAGAACTAGTGCTGGGCATGGGACGTTGCACATCACACAGACCATTCGCTACTCCTAGTCTGGCCCCAATTTGGATTCAGGATTCATGTGAAATTTATCGAAGTTCTAATAAAATTCAAATATAGGATCAAAGGTGCCATTGAATGCACATCACCCTCACTCATCAGGAAAACCATGTAGTTCACGGATGATTCACAGAGTAATGAAGTTCAGCCACATCAAGTCTAAGTCTCCATAATATGAACAAAATTGTTCTCTAAACAGCACGGCACAGTCATCATCACAAAACAGCTAAAATAAATATCACCATGACGTCACAGAAACAGCTGATGACCTTGTACGGTGTACAAATAAACTTTGATACAAATGATTCATGGAAGTACTAGGTTCAGCCAGTCAGCACCATTTCTGACCATTCTCCATGTTTTACAACAAAAAATGTCAGGGAAGATATGGCTAAATACCATGCAGGTTTTTCACATGGTTGTTCAAGCCATGGAACATATAAACAATCATTTGAAGCTCCTCATGGCTTCTCTTCCTTTGCAGCTCCTGTCGGGGCTTCCTCCCCCTTACTCTGCTCCACCATACTTCCTCCCACATCTGCACATTTTCGAAAAATATGGTCAGCTGAGTCAAGAAATGAACATAACATGTAGGGTGTATAGCGGAAAATGGATGGAGACAGCCAGTCAAGGTTGAAATGGTTTTCAAGGGCAAAACAACTTTCTCTTACATACGTAGAAGATTTCTTATCATTGAGTAGACCTCAAGATCATGAAAAGTAGATCACCAAGGAAAGAAGAAAACCACATGACCTGACCAGAAAAAAACTACTTGATAGACCCAGGACTCTTCGCAACATTGTATACAAATCGACATAAGCCGTGACTTATTGCGGCTGCAGCTACACTATAAGCATGAAAGGCAACGATAAATCTAGTTGCTGTCTAGGTCAATTTTCAGAGTGGATTATTCTTGATGGGGCTTGAAAAGGTCGTACAAGTATTTATAGACTCTGATTAGAAGAACTGGCTAAACATACCACTATAACAAATGCCATCTAAAGTGCTAAAACCAAAGGCTGCTCTGCCATATGCTCTTCAGAGCTTCAAGATACAAATGTTCTATTAACAGGATTGCAATAGTTAGATAACCCACACACTAGAATCTCCAGTTCTGCATTGTAGTTCTAATACATGTCCATCTTGAAGCATGAATCCAGGAACAGGTTCCTCCCCAAGACCCCAACTAGTGAATCACTTCCTACCACTACATCTCTTCCTTTTGAATCCTGAGCCAAGCTCGAGCATATGATTGGGCCACGTCGCCTATATTTTCTTAACCGTCGGATTCCCGAGCCACTGTCGATCGAGCCGTTGATCTGGCCGTCCAGCTTGCCCGCACAAAGCCTTCGCGAACCCTGTGCCCTCCCGTCGCCTGCGACACTGCGCAGCGCTAGCTCACCTTGGTTCTAGGGTAATAAAGTAAAAAACATATTCTAGGGTATCAACACTATCTACACTCCTTTGGTTCAGTCATTTGACATTATCTTAATAGCAGCTGCAATGTCAAAATCAGATACATAGCAGTAGAAGAAACAGTAATCTCCGGATGGCAACAGTTGTTTGCTGTATAAAATCACCATGCATTATTTTGCATCTCTTTTTGTTGTACACGTATCTATGCACGATTTCGCTAAGCAGCACATTCCTTTGTTGTTCTGCAAGTACATGAAGTTCTGCAACGATGGAACTGGACTATTTCAGGGGGGGCACGGCAACGCGCGTGCCAGTTTTCTAGTTCTATTCTTCATTCTGGACACCATAGATGAAAAGGAGAGAATGGCGCACCTTCATTAGCTTTTTTTTCTGACCGAACTTCATTAGCTTCGTTCATCACTTCGTTTTCATCATTCTGAAGATCAGAAGCTGCAGCTCTGATATCCAGCTTCTGCAGATACAAAACACCATGAAAATCTTTCATGAATCATCACATAATGCTTTTGTCAGATACCTAACGAGTCGATCTTCAAGAAAACAGGGGGGTTGCCCTCCTTCTTCAGCAGCCTCGGCCACCACTTGCTATCAGCCTTCTTCAGAAGGTAGCGTACGTCTTTGACTCCAACTATTTTTTTTTATCTCCTGCAAACAGCAAAACCTATATAATCAGAATGTAGTATGTACCCAGAAGGTAGAACCAGTCAACAATTAAACCAACCTCAAGGTTAATAGCGTCAAATAGCTCGAGGTCAAGCTCGTATGGCATGTCATCAGCTCCCATTGCAGAGAAGTGAAAATGGCCCTCAGGCTTCAAATCCAGCATAATATCCTTTGCCTCAGGCAACTCAACTACTATGAACAGCTTGTCAAAGCTTTGAGACCACTTAGTGTTAGGATGGGGGCTGCAATGATAAACAACATGAAATTCATGGACATAACCATCGTGTAATTCCTTTTAATTGCTCAAGGACTAAGGCACATCGAATATTGGCTAAAACATACCTTCTCTTCTTTTCTTCTGCAGGAACCAGAGAAAAGTCAAAAAGTCAGATAACATGTAACACCATTGAAATTAAAAAAAACAGCAATAAACATCACTTACTGTTATGAAATGAGACGAAGCTGACTGGGTTCAGTTCTGGAATCTTGGTTCCAACATGTTTCTCACTTGGAGTTCTTAAAAAAACCATTAACGAATCTGACTTGTTTTGGAACAGTCCTTCCGGAATCGATGAATCAAAACTGATCCACAAGTCTCTCTTGGCAGTTTTAGATATGGTTCTGTGCTCGACATTTAAGATAATCATTCTACAGTTCTCACTGTCTTCACTAGTCTCCTCAATTCTGCAGTCCTCATACATTTTCAAGATCTTACTTCTAGCTTCAGACTGAGATTCCTTCATCACAATAAAAACCTTGGACGGTCTCAATGCTGTAATAATGTGGGACAATATATCTGCTTTATCCTTTTCTTCAACTTCTGACTGGTATCTTTGGTGCAAGTCCAGAGGACTTAACTGCTCTTGAGTCTAGAGGAGGACTTGACTGCTGCTGCAGTCTAGAAGACTTGACTGCCTTGACTCCTCCCTTACTGCAAGAAATAAGAGTGATTAGTTTCAAAACTAACTGTACCAAGAAAAAGAAAGAAAGAGACCAATTAGGGAGCAACTTATACCATTAATGTTAACCAAAAGGTTAGGAATAAAATTAATAAAACCATTGAGGTAAAGAATAAAATTAATAAAACCATTGAGGTAAAGATTTTAGTTTCTTACTTTTCTTAATCAAACTGTTGAAGGAGCCTTGTTTTTGCGTGAATTTAAACAGCGGCTTCCCACTAAGGTAACTTTTCACCTTTTTCAGAAGGCTTCGGAGGTCCACATTAGTGTCAGGTCCTTCTAACTTCATTACCCTCATCAAGCCATCAACCCAAAACATCTTCTCCCTTTGCTGCCATTCGGGGATCAAACTTGTGTAATACCTCCTCATATACTTTAGCAACTTCAAAAGATCAGCATTCCTATCATCTAGATCAATTCGATGAGCTCCCCAAAGTGTATTGAACACTAATTGACAATCTGAACAAACTTCAAAGGGGTGCAGATGTAAACCCAATCTGATACCTTCCTTGAGAAGTAGAAACATCGCCATTGCTTCTGCTTCGATAGAATCCTCGCATGGATAATCTTTGATAACAATACTCGATAATATCTCACTAGTGCTCGTCCATATAGCGATGCATATCGAAGCTTTACTGTTCTTCTTGTTATTCTTATCCTCAAGAAAAGATGCATCACACTCTCCCTTATATAGCGGGGAGCCATCAAAAGTGACTCCACGCTTATAGAGAGTAGTCCCGAATGAGGCACCTAAGGAGTTATCCCAATCCTCAATTACCAAACATCCTTTTTCACTTAGGAAATCCAAGAAGATGCTCCAATATAACTCTGTCATGTTTATCATCGCCTCCATCAAGTCGATACTTGTCAAATACTTAGCATCTGTTACATGTTTCTTATACTCTTCAAGCAACTTGATGCCCCTATGGTCACTGAGAGAATAAGGTGATAAAAGAACACGTGCAACTAGTGCAGGTCTAATCTTCTCGTAGTATAACTTCTTTAACATTTCCTTCGACTGGTGTTTCTTGCACTCTTTTAAGACATGTTGCAGTAATTCTTTCAAATAGCTTGCACTTAAGTTCTGGAGGTTACCCTCAAGGCATGCAATCTTGTCCACGACATCTTCTATGCCGGATGACATTTCATCCCTAGCACTCTCGCATTCCTCTACTGACAACAGGTTAATCCCTTTTGTCACTGGATCTGAAAATGTGCTTAGCAACCGCTTTGTTGGCTGAGTTCCCTATGAATAGACGAAGGTAAAGTAAATAAACAACAAGAAACATATCAAATAGGGCTATCTATACGGTAGGTAAAACAGGATTAAGTTTTTTCAATCCCGAATATTGTGTGAAATTTGACCATAAATAAAAAAATACACCTATGAGTTCTGATCGATCTTAAGCCTAAAAGTTCTATGAGTAATTCTAATCGAAAAGCAAATAGCAAATAGATAAATGAAAATCTCATTAAACGACTTCAGTTGCAATTAAGGATTCATATAGGAGTTGTCTATAGAACACTCCGGGTGTTTTGGGAGGACCTTACACCTGAATTTTTAACCAACACAAACTGAGATAAATGTCTTAGATTAGATCCTACATGGGAGTAATGGAACAAAATCAGGTGCTATTAGGGACTACAAACACCCGAATTTTTAATTACACCACCCATACTTGAAAATTACACCCAAATATCTAGTGTAACTCTGATATAAATTGATTGTAACTAAGGTGCAAGTAGAAATTCAAGTGTTGGAGAGTCAAGCAACACACGAATTCTCCTTTATCTCAGATAGTTACCTTCTTGAGCACTAATCTCAAAGTCATCTGAGACAAAAAAAAAATTCGAGTGCCCAAAGGCCATAAAACATACGAGTGTCTTTTAGCAATTCCGATTCATATATCTATGATATACAGGAAAAACTAAGTTACATGAATGTAACATCAGGATAAAATCCAAAAGTTCATTGTGGGTTAAAGAAGTTCACAAGGTGTAAAAAATATCTATGATCAGAGAATAGAACTTACCATCATGTTTAACTGCAAATGACGCCTGATCCTTATCACCGGACAGTGAGGCGCCAGGAGATGGCGGCCAGTCCATGGTGTGCCAGGCCCAGCAGGAAGACGAGGACAAGGGCCGTGGAAGTTGAAGAGGAGTCCAACCGAAGGAGAGACGGGTGGTGTCGCCGGTGTCAAACCGTGGCCGGCAGGCAGAAGGCCAGCAGATGGAGGGCCTCCACCGGTCAGCAACGGAACAGTGCGGCACGCTGGCGGCCGGAGGTGAGGTACCGCCGTTTTCATCCCCAGCCGCAGCATCGCCGACGACGCCGAGGCAAAAAGGTCGCTTCTTTTCGGCTTCTGCTGCTGCTGCTCGGGGCGGCGACGCTGGTGAGGAGGGAGTGTGTCCTCCGGCACTCCAGGGCGACGTGCCGACGGGGGTTCGGAGCGGCCGGCGGCATTGAAGTTGGAGTAGGTTGGCGGCGTCGCCGGAGTGGACGGAGTCGGTGGCGTGCCAGCAGGAGGACGTAGATCGGACCCGTCGAAGGTCGAGAGAAGTCCGACCGGTGGTGGCGCCGCCGGAGTGGAACGGTGGCCGGCGGGCAGAAGGCCAGCAGATGGAGGGCCTCCACCGCGGCACGGCGGCGGCCGGAGGTGAGGTACAGCCGTTTTCATCCCCAGCTGCAGTATCGCCGACGCCGAGCCAAAAAGATCGCTTCTTTTCGGCTTCTGCTGCTGCTGCTGCTCGGGGCGGCGACGGCAGTGAGGAGGGAGCGTGTGCTCCAGCACTCTAGGGCGACGTGCCGACGGGTGTTCGGAGCTGTCGGCGGCATTGAAGTTGGAGTAGGTTGGCGGCGTCGCCGGAGTGGACGGAGTCCGTTGCATGCCAGCAGGAGGACGTGGATCGGACCCTGGTGGTGGCGCCACTGCAGTGGAACGGTGACCGGCGGGCAGAAGGCCAGCAGATGGAGGGCCTCCACCGTCGTCAGCCACATGCCGGATGCCGACGTCGCGTGCGCGCCTGGCCGGAACGGCGCGGCACACTGGCAGCCAGAGGCGGGTGAGCATTCCCAAGCCCAAAATGACACCCTTTTCTTGAATTTGAGAGGGCTTATTCGGCTGCTGCTGGCGGCGGTGGCAAGGGATGGGATTTTTCATCAACGGCAGTAGTCCTGGGGGACGTGTCGGCGGCAGGGCACGCCAAAGCGGCGGCCGGAAGCGGCGGCCGACGGCCTCTCTCCGCAGCATGAGGGGGGAGTAGAGGAAAAGGGCTTGGTTCTTGGTCTGGTCTTGCTTGCTAAACAACAGAGAGTGGAGGAGGGAGGGAAAGAAGAATGATAGGGCGAGGAATAGTAGGGGCAGGGAGGCGAGCGGTCAGAGGCATGGGCGCTTGCCTGCCAGGCCTAGCAGCCACGTAGAGAGGTATAGCGTGGGCAGTGATGAATGAGAAAATGCTTGATGTGAGTAGGACTGCATGCATGCACGGTTTACCAGTTGACTGGCCGCCGAGCATATTAATCTTGGCTAGTTGCAAAAACTTTTAGAAATATTAAATATAAATAGATGAAATAAAAAATTAATTGTATAGTTTGCGTGGAAATTGTGAGATGAATATTTTGACCCTAATTAATCCTTGATTTGACACTAAAGTACTACAGTAACAAATATGCTAATGACGGATTAATTAGGCTTAATAAATTCGTCTCGCAATTCTCAGACGAGTTATGTAATTAATTTTTTAATTAGTATCCGAAAACCCCTTCCAACGTCCCATAAAACATCGATGTGACACCCAAAAACTTTTCGCCCCCGAACTAAATGGAATACATGTGATCCACCGGACAGTAAATGTTATTCCCCACATATAACAATATTGAAACGTTACCTGTCGCGTGAGACATGACATCAGCAAAATCACAACACATCAGTAGCTTAGTACTAGTACGTACTGGTTCGGAAGCGATTTGATTTCTCCCAACCGGATCCATGGAAACGAACTCGGGGATCATCAGTCATGGGGTTATGCAGTATGCCCTCAGTGTGATGTGCGATCACAACATCACTTCTCCGTTGCGTGTTTTCTCACCATGGAGCTGAAGATCTTTATTTTTTTCCCCCCCGAAAGCAACGAATATACTGTGGTCGGTTAAATCAGGAAGAGGAAGCAGGGCACCAAAGGTGCCGAACAGAGTCATACAAGCCCTCGGGCAAGGCACTTAGGCCAAAGGGGAGAGAGAAACAGAGAAAAGGAAAACAAGATCCAAGTACTAGCTGATGATGCCCAAATGCGATACCGAAGTCTAATATATCTCCTCTCTGCATGATGATGGCATATATAGGAAGTTCATGGAGAGACGTACGGCATTCAAAGGTCAATCGGATGGACCTCGCGACCAGAATCAAGGCGTTGTGCTATAAATCGTTTGCTACATGGCCTGGCGTGATGGAGGAGGGACGGCACACGCATATCCTCGTCAGCGCGCGCTTTTCGGACCATCACATGCCAAATTGCAAATGCTATGTCTTTGTTCTACGACTCTTTCGTTCTCCATCCATGTCGAATGCACCGGCGGAATGACACGGTGTCCCTGGCCGCGCTCAGCATCTTATAGCGAATGAGCGATGTAAGTACATCACTGTGCACCCTAGTCACGCGCCGTAGAAGGACGTGCGATCGAGAATCGAGATGCCGAAGGTTGTATTCGTTCGCAGAGATACGTGCACTGCACCTTCTTAAAGAAAAAGCCGGTTGCATTGGCGGGAGAAAAGCAAACACACAGCACATACATGCGAGCCTCCAGGCTCGCACCCCTTACCGCTGTCCGCTACGTATAGCAGTACTAGAGACATGCAGCGACATGCATCCCGTCCAGAATGTGACCCGACGGCTCTACTTCAGCATGCAACAGTAAAAGTAACTAGTTAACGTGCAGTATTGCTAGAGGAATAGTAACAAGTGTACGTGTCGCCACCATTTCCACCCTCCTGATATGGCTCCTACGTGTGATCTTTCCATGCTGCACACGTCCTTTTTTTTTTCTTTTACCCATCGGAAGGAATCTGCTTGGGATTGGTGGCACTGACATGTCACCCTTGTCCAGTTACATATAGTTTTGCACGTGGCTACATATTTTCGAAAAAAGAAATCTCACACATAGCTTGTATATGGCATTCAAATGGTGACGAATGAGGCCCCAATTAAGCTAACCGTGAAAAGCCGTAACGTTGCATATGCATCTCTTTCTTGAGTTGAGTAATACATGCGTCGGTCACGTGGTTGTTCCCTACGACGATCGCACACAAAACATTCATCATCCATAGAGCATCGCAGTTTTCAAACCCAAATTTTCAAGTTTTGCATTCCACGCCATTCGGAACATACAACAAAACATAATGGGTGCCTCTCTCGTGTTTGGTGTACAGATTACTTCCATCTTCTTAGTAGGCAGTCCTATTGCAACAAGACGTGCTTTAGTTTTACCTTCCCTCCGCTCTGGCTCCCGTGCTTGTGCTTCTTCAACATCACCGTATCGGCGCGTATGCGGGTCCGAAAAGGTTTGTCGATTCTCGAGCCTTTATAATCTGGCGGGAGGAAGTAGAGTAAAACTGGCATTTGGTTTAAAACGCTACGCTATGGAGGGGGGGCTTGTGTGGCAGCTGATCATGTGACTTACATGCCAAAAGGTGACCTAGCACATGCCATTTCCGTCCCCACAGTAAATACATTTGTTTTACTTGTTTTACCGGTGCCCATCGGTTTGACCAAGCGTCGAGGGAAGGTAAGGAGCCTCACCCCTTTGCCGGTGGCCACCCGGCCCCGCGTCCACCAAGCCCTCGCCTCCGCCCGCGTGGTGGCCCGGGCGCCCCACCCCCCCTCCCCCCCGCCCAACCACCCCCACTTCCCCTTCCCCGCCATGGAACGGGGTTCTCCTTCCCGCTGCTCTGGGCGGATGAGGTTGACAAGCTCCCTCAACCCCGATCTTGACCCCTTCGTGGCCTCCCCTAGTTTGGGGGAGGTTACGCTTCTCCGACTCCGAGGCCTCGTCTAATGACCTCGGCGCCTCCACCGTGAAAGATCCAATATGGCTAGAGGGAGGGGTGAATAGCCTATTAAAAATTCTACAAAGCACTAAGCAACTTTGTTAGATAATTAAATAGTGAATCTTTTTGCACTAGCTCTAACAAAGGCTGCAAACCACCTATCCAACAATTCTAGTGATTATGATCTCTATGGCACACACAAGAGCTATGTCACTACTTAGCCTAGCTAGAGAGCTACTTTACAACTAAAGAAGCTAAACTACTCAACTAGCTACACTAGCAAAACTAACTCTACACAAGTATACTAGGAATGTAAATACAAGAGATAGAGTGAGTTTCACCAAGCCTTCGGGATCACCAATGAAGTCCAATGAATGAGCCAATCACCAAGAATGGAATCAATCAATCACAATATCAACACATGGGAGACAACGATTTTTATCCCGAGGTTCACGTGCTTGCCGGCACGCTAGTCCCCGTTGTGTCGACCAGCACTTGGTGATTTGGTGGCTAATCGGCACCACACCGAGCTCAACACTTGAGCACCACAAGAATCTACCACAAGTGAGGTAGCTCAATGACACGAGCAATCCACTAGAGTGGCTTTTGGCGCTCTGCCGAGGAATAGGCCCATGAACCCCTCACAAAGATCACCGGGTGTGGCCAAGAACAATCACCAACACTTGCCAACACCTCCAAGCTGCTCCAAGCCATCTAGGTGGCGGCAACCACCAAGAGTAACAAGAAAACTGCAGCCAAGTCAACCACCAAGTGCCACTAGATGCAATCTCACAAGAAAATACACTTGAATTCACTCAATGTCACTTTGATTCGCAATCTCAAGCAAGCAGATGAGTAGGAGAGGTTTTTCTTAGCTCACTAGAATGTATTGCCAATGAAAATGTGCAACAGTACCTCTCCAAGCCGGCCAAGGTCTTATTTAGAAGCCCCGAGCCATCTCCCAACCATTACTCTAAAAAATAGGCAATGGATCGGCGGGAAGCGTGCGAACCGAGGGGTCTAACATGGATGCGGATTGTCTAACATGGATATTATATATTTTAATATTATATATAATATCTACAGATTAATCTAGTATACGCAACGCCGTGTTTACACCTTTTTTGTCCCGTGAACTATAAAGGAGTTAACTACTGGTTGAATAGAATTTTTTGTTATATAGATCATATAAAAATGTGGTATGGTGGTATGCAGTTACTTTTCTTAGCCATATTTATCTAGACTAAACTAGTTAGCAAAATGTTAAGGATTTTACGATTTGATTAGTTGGATCATTGGTTATATCTGTAATAAGATATACTCTATCCATCTAGTAATATAGTGCATTCTATTATTCAAAATTTATCCTAAAATATAATACATTCTAAAGGACAAAAACCAGTTTTGTATTAAATGTTTTTCATTTATGAACCAATTACTATGAATCACATTGATGGTAGCGTCTGATTTGAAAATAAAATGAGGGTACAAGCGTCTTTTATGTTCTCTCTTAAATTTTTCTTAAAATTCTTAGAATGTACCATATTACAGGACAATGCGAGTAAGCTTTATTTTAGTTTAAACCACAACAATAATTTACTCCATCAATAATTTAGTGTGAAAAAATATCTATTTATTAAAGAAAAAGATCAAGTGTTCAAGTATCATAACATTTTATTTATTATTAGTTTTTCATATTTATAGGAAAAATAATTAAGAAAAAAATAATAATAAATAAAAAAGGATGAAAAAAGAACGGAAGACGTAAAAGCAAGCCCAACCAGAATCGGAAAAAAACAAACGTAGAATTTACCATGCATATAATTCATAAAAGAACATATATATATAGACAATATTGTAGTAGCATGTTGTGGTAAAACCGACCAATTTAATACGGTTTCGGAGGCACTTGTCTTCCACTAGACACTAAGTACCCCGAAAGGGAGCTAAACCGAGTAGTTCCGTCGAGCACACCCAACGAGAGAACTCGAACAATCCATATTTTACATCCAGGATCCAATAACGAGTATAAGCTTACAATACTTAGTCCATTTCATACAACATAGAGTCTCAGAAATCATTTATTATAATACCAGAGTTCAGAGTGCGATAATTTAAACCGCGGAAATAAAATAAACATCTAGCGGTATGATATAAGGATCTGCTTGTGCCCACCAGAAGAATCCTCCACATAAGGCCTAACTTCT